GGGAGCCTCCATATTGAAAGAATTCAGCTGCCAGATGGAGGCGAATATACTTGTGTGGCCAGTAATGTTGCTGGAACCAATAACAAAACTACCTCTGTTGTCGTGCATGGTAAGAGCCACACCCCATGTCATTGTTTCCAAACCATGTTCAAAGTCATGTTCATATATTTTAATCAAATAACTCTGTTCTTCTAATTACAGTAAATACCTCCACTAATTTTATTTTCTATTTCTTGAACAATATCTACATTGATAATGTTGTTTTCAGATTTCCCTTTCCTATGTACACAAAAGACATTCTTGGGAGTCACCCATGGAGTCTGGCCAAGGGCTTTGTAAGTGGTTTCTTAATTGATACAAGTGAACTCAGCTTCCAAAGAACGATGTTTAAAAATACATTTTAATTTCAGGCAAGCTGAACTTATTATACGATTCAAATTGCCTTTTCTTCTTGGATTGGGCAACAGGCATGTCCTTGCTAATGACCCCTTTGTGTGTGAGCTAGGGATGACCTAAGCTTTTCTAAAGGTCACCTCATGTGCTCTAAACAATCTTCTTGCATGTTAAATAACTTAAAGGTCACAAATAAGAAAATCCAGAAGCTATCTTTTCCATTGATGACTAACAGTTACCAAATTTATGCATCTCAATAAATGACAGCTTCATAATTTAAGAAATTATAACTTCTGTGTCTATGTCCTTCAAGACCTTGCAACATTGCTTTTTAAAAAATGTAGCATCAAAAATATTTTTGTGTACAGGGCTGAATATCTTATAGAAAAAAAAATAGAGAACACTTATTTTTAGGTGATTCACTCTTTGGAACACAAATTGGAGAACTCAGTAGATTCAAGCATTGTTTGGTATGTTGACGATGGCAGTGAATGGAGACCACCTTTGTTTTTTATGCCTGCTTCTTATTTAAACAGCCTCTCCCACCTCTCTCAGTTTCGTACCAAGTTTCCACCAACATCACTTTCGATATTCCAGAAGAAATATTATTTTGAAGAAATACAGAAGCAACCCTGAATTAGTCATTGCTTAGAAGAATAAACATATGCTTCCAGATTAGACACGGTTGTGTAACTATTTTTCAGGAAGACCAGACCATAGATTTCCCGGACGGTGGTTATGGATTGGTTTGAGAATCTAGTGTAAAGGTGCCTTCATGTCATTGGCTTCTCGTGGCTGCCTGGAATATTGTGTTGAGGACACTCTGCCATCAGATTTTCACTTGGGTGAACAAATGATGGGACGAGTTGTGATATCTGCCAGATCTGAGGACTGAAAAGACAGACAAAGCAATGATATGGTCTAATGTGATGCAAGAAGTTTCAAAAATTAAAAATTAAGAGGTTAGGGCAGCGCCTGTGGCTCAAAGGAGTAGGGCACCTGCTCCATATGCCGGAGGTGGCGGGTTCAAACCCAGCCCTGGCCAAAAAAAAAA